ACCCCCCTGCCAGGGCCCCCAAAAGGGACGAAAAATGACATCATCCCGACCATCCCGGGCAGGTCCCAATTGGCCGGCACCAGGGGGTCCCGGACGAGACCAGGGGACTTTACAAGTGGATACCGAAATACATAGGATCTTTTCTTCATCAGGTAAGGTCTGGTACAAAATGGGTGGACATTGTGTGCCGAAATCCAGGGCTTGCACAACGACGACGACGCTGGGAGGATTTGACTAGTGATCCACCTTGACGATGACCCCTGGTTTGGTGGCCCTGATGAGCAGAGCTTGGTGAATGAACTTGGGGTGAGCTTGGTACAGTGTACGCTACGTGTAGTGATGAGCTTGTACTGATGATGAACACTGGGATCACAGCATGGTCGGCCATGGAACACGTGGATTTGTAAGGCACGGCCAGGTCCGCGGGAGGGAACAATCGCTGACAGGTGTGTGTGTGGAGTTGCTGGAACGGTGAATGATTGACATGCTCGTAGACGGTTTTGGAAATCAGGGTGCTGGAGGTGACGGCAGGATACCTACTTAAGTCGGCGAAAGGGTCATGACAACAGAGCCGAACAGTTTGACACTGCTTCATTTCTGGCAGCTCGCTATGTAATCGTGTTCATACCGTTCGACTTCACTTGCGCCAATAGCAGAGTTCCACTTTGCATGTTGCATACCTACATTACAGTTAAAGTCATCGTGAACTGATATTGTTCGATACAGCTATCGTACCTTATTGATAGCATAAGAAACATGACTGGACTCTCCAAAGAAGCGCAACTATGGGCCTTGACCTGCTTACCGCCTGGAAACTTCGTTTCTCAACCCATAAATGCATGTCATAGATCTTCAGCTCATATTCTTCTTGTCTGTTCCTACCATTCTGACAAGATGGTCATGTCCATCCAGCAAGCGAAGCATCATTGCGACGTCGCATCCCCATTGGAAGCTCGATGATCGTCTCAATTGGGAAGGATTGGGATCTTGCCCACAGACCTGTACTTGCTGATAGCAGAATCGAGAGTAGCCTCAAAGGTCTTGGCCTCGGAAGTAAGCTCCTCTGCCTTGGACGCGCAGAGGCTGATGAGCTTGGTGTCAAGTTTCTACAGGTGATAGGATATGTCAGTAAAAAGAACAAGAAAAAGCTCAGTCATGGCCTGATTAAAGGAAATGTTTGCTATAGGCCAGGAACAGGACTCACCGTGTAAACGTCCTTCAGGTTCGTGAGCGAAACCGCGACCGATGGGCCAACGGTCGCAAGTGGGGCCTTGGTGAGAACGACCGACTTGCCAGCGAGAAGGTTAAGGTAGACCTGCTGGGCGGCTGAAAACTGCTTGAAGGAGTCGGTGATGGCAGTGCACTCCTCGGCCGTGAACGGATTCGTACCCTCCAGGTCTGAAAGGGTTTTACCGCCCGCCAAGAGCATGTCATTGTTGCCAGCGATGATCTTGTAGTATATCTTAGTTCTGGATTTGATGAACCAATGACAAAACTTTGGAGAGACTTACAGAGAAGGCTCCATGGCCGATAGCGATGGAGTGAGCATCCCACTCGGTGCCCTGGCAAGATACTTGAAGTTTCTGCGCCTTCTCCTTAAGGAATTTCAGGCTGTCGCAAACCTGCGGTGGAGTTACCGAGCGAACCACAGGCTGGGCCATGACGACGCTGCCCAGGGTGGCAATTGCAGAAATGAGTGAGAAGCGCATTTTGATAAGTGGTGGTGGGTTGGGAAGATGGATGAGTTGCAAAAAGCCGGAACTGGAGTGTTTGATGGATGATGGTGATGATGATGAGAAAGAGATAGAATGATCCAAGGGCAGAGGATGATCAATGTTATATACCTCTATCTGAGGATTGTGAGACCAACAATGGAGCTGACATGTGGCGAAGAACTCATACCTTGGAGGTGAGGGGATAATGTACGTTTTCAAGAAGAGGATGCATTATCAAGAAGAAAGTGCATCTCCAAGTAGAAGACGCAGTTCCAAGATTGTCAACACCATGTTCTGATTTCAGCACATGTTGCAGCATAAAGCTCCAACTCGTAGAGTTTGCCAACATTCTGTCCGCTTCCTTACATTAATAAATACCTACAACTCTTGGTCACAACAGCACATGGATCTATCCGAGTCAAGTGCGATGATGTAATATGCGCACCTCGCCAGTGTGAAATTTTCTAACAGTGAAATGGAGCAAGACAGGATAGCCTCCTATGAAAAAGTGGTGTCAAATACGCAAATCTGATCACTGCTAGTCTTTGAGTAGTATGGCAAGAAGGAAGAATGGATCCAAATACTTACTTAGCTAAGTCATAAGTCAATAAAGGAAGAAGAACATAGTTGGGTTATCCGAGCTAGACTTGACTCCAACAAGAAGCAGAATTGGTTGTCGTTGTACGTGAGGAATGAATTCCCGAGGTAAACCTGGCCAAGTCTTTTGGGTGGAAGCCTGAATGTATTCAATCAGGAAACAATGATTCTACAAGTTGCCAGCCCCTCTCTTCCCCCTACATATTGAAGAGATGCCCTTCCTTCAGTTTTATCACTGCAGGTGGAATGTCCTAGCTAATCCAGCCCTGCCTGCTTAATCGAAATTTCCAAGGCAAATCCGATTGATCTGTACCTACTACTTAGGTACCTTACCTACCTAGCTACCCTGTTACAATTGTAAAAAGTTGCAGGAACCGCCTCAAGTGGACATTGCGCGCATACCTCTATATCGATATAAAGGTCTTCAGCTGCGTCAAAACAAGCAAGCGAACCATTTTCCTAAACTGAACTTTAGTCGAACAACTAAGTAACTCAGCTCACGACACTCGACTCTTGCGCGGGCTGCTCCTGACAGTGACCATCATCACCAACATGGTGGGTGCCCGACCTCTACGTCGGTCGGCCGTCTTCCATTGGATGATGGTGCTATATATATATCTGGGAAGGTCGCGCTAGTAACTACTACTACTACTACTACTACTACTACCGCTCTAAACATAGACGATTGACCTATTGACAAACTTCACTCGTTAAAGCTTGGCCTTTTGTTCTTCCTCCCTCGTCAGCGTCCACTCCACTCCACTATCTTTTCTACCTCTATGGACTCTTCTCGACCCACACCCGCTCCCACGCGGGAGGAACTCGGTAATCTGAGAGGCTAGAGATAGATACCTACACACCCGATCCCACATGCCATGACGAACTCGGGCAATCCAGTCGATCTGCCGCATTCAGTCCCAGGAAAACGGCGAAGGATGGCCCCCCTTGGCCCTTGGCAACCGCCGCGATCTGCCTACCTACCTACCTTTTATGCAAGTGGAAGTGAAGAGAAGAAGAAGAAGAAGAAACAGCGGTAGGATCACATCGATAGAATAATATTCGGGGACTCCTCCTCGATTAGATCTATCTGGCCGCCAAGAGGGACATACATACATGGATGGAAATACCCTACCCTATCCTACCTTAGGTACCCAGCAAAGTCAAAATTTCAGAAGTACATAAAGTAGAAGTATACTACTAGAAGTACAATCTCAAGCTTCAGTCACTGACGGACTGCCTCAGGTGACCGACCCGACCCACACAACCTGGCAGGTACGTAGCGTAGCGTAGGTACTAAGGCTGAGTGATGAACTACAATACAATCGACCAATCCTTGGTGTGCATCGGATCTAGGTAGTTATAGTCCACACCTCCACTCCACGTGGCATCCAGATCCAGGAAAGGAGGCTCCGGGGGGGAACAATTACAAAACCTAATCTTGTCGATCATTCAGCCTCTCCACACACACGACACGCGCTCCCAATGATTCAATGATCCAATCCCAAGAGACTACTAGAACTACTACTGAGACATGCAGCAGACTGCTATACGTTACGCTACTACTATGAACCTTGGAAAGGCTGTAGTGTGTGTAGATCCCCTTAGTTCTGTTCGAGATGACGGAACAGTGTGATCAACTGACGGGAAGGAGGAAGGAGGTGAAGTGCTGTGAAATGGCGGTAAGATCGTCGTTGTCGTTGTCGTTGTCGTTATCGGTGACTGGGATGCGACAGATGTGGGCCGCTAGTTACCTAGTTAGACTCGGTAGGTATATATAAACGTCGACCGGCTTGTTCCCGTTCTCTGTCTGTCTTTCGTCGATTTTCGACTATTTATCAGCTTGTCATCATCATCAACTTCAATCTTCCCGCCAAACTGAACCCCCTCTTAACTTATACCTGCTCAACCTCTATTTTTTTTCTCCAACCACCCTTTCAGTTCCTTTCCAAGTATCCAGCCTCACTCAACCCACCACAAATCCATGTACAACTATAAAAACCAATCAATCAAAAATGCGTGTCTCACTCATCTCCTCCATCCTCGCCGGCTTAGCTCTCAACACCGGCATCACTGTCCTCGCGGCGCCTGTACCTACACCTATATCCCACGCACAAGCTGTGCAGCCCGCTCCACAAGGGACTACCGACTCTGAACTCGTCACCCCCCGCGGTACCACCATCCAATGCCACACAGATCCCTGCCCCATCAATCACCACTGGTAGTGGTAGTGCAGCTCTGCGTAATCAGGCCCTATAGTAGCTTGGTAGCCGCTACAGAGTAGAGGTACGTTTTGCCCTCGGTTGTTGATATGAGTTTGATGAGGAATGTCGTCGTTTCTGACGTATGCTATCAATGGCAGGATCTGGGAAGCATTTTCTTTTTGGGCGCTGGGAGGGCAAGCTTGTGGGAGACTTTCAACGTAATTTTCACTACAGGCTATTGATGCTTTCAAGGATATCAGACATGTGATGAAGGGTGGCTCTCCGAGATTTTAGGGGGACACGACCGGGGCAATGATTTTGAAGGCGCATGGTTGGGGAGTATGGGTTTAGGACATTACGGATTGGTCGGTTAATAGGGTTGAATATTAGGGTTCACGAAGTTCAATCTGTCATTCACTTGACGTACAGGTATGATTCGCAAACAAACTTCCCCCCATCCTTTGCTCACACTGTGAACAACAACAACATACTGTTGTAGAAGGGCCAAAAAAGACATAGGAAGGGAGCCGTGCCGTATTCACACCTCTGAATAACCCTTTTCCCATGTTGTGTGCTTTCAATCTATACCCAAAGATGCTTGGCACTCTCAGCGTACTCTCGAAAACTCTTGGGCTTGTTGCCAGTCATACTAAGAACCACATCATTCGTCCTATTTTCCGTCCCGTACTTGATTGCCGTATCCAGTGAGCTCATCAAGCGCGAATGCTCTTCTGAACATCCAAATGACTGCTGGCGACGCTCAAGGTCGTGACTGCTGAGGTCGACATGGACAATCTTGCGACCAAGAACAGAGGAGAGGATGCTTGCAATCTGTAACGGAGAAATGTTGTCAATATCAAGATCAATGTCGCCGTTAAACCCAGGGGATGTTGGCCCTACTCACATCATCATACCCCAACAACTCGGGTCCCAGAACCAAATACTCTGTGTTTGGGGCATCTTTGTTCGTCAAGGCCTCCACCGCCACAGCCGCGATGTCATCCGCCGACACCCATGGGATCTTGCCCCTGCTCGTCGCCGAGTACAGCCTATTCTCCTCCTTGATGCTCTTGACATGGCATGGCTGCTCGAAATCCTGCTGGCACCAAGTCGGTCTCAGCACCGCCCACTCGGCCTCTCCCCTCTGGCCCAGCTCCCTTAGGTACGCATGCACCCGCCCCAACGAAAAGCCGCCGGGTTCCATAGCGCTGGCAGACTGCAGGACGAAGCGGCGTGTGCCGTGTTTGAGGCGGGCATAGTCCACAAACTGCATGAGGAGAGATGCTTGCTGGGAGGGCGAAGGGGAAGGGGCTCGTTCTTGTTGCTCGTCTGAGGCGGCGAGGGTGGAGGCGCGGGACGAGTGCGAATGGACGTGGGTGCTGGAAGGCGGGCTGTTGGGCGCGGTGAGGTAGATGGAGTGGATCATGCCGTCACTCTCCATTTCGCTGTCGCTGCCAAACAGCTCCTGTGCGCGGGCAAAGGGGTTCTCCCAGGTGTTGGAATCGTAGAGGTTGAACTTGACGCCGTTGGGGTCCTCCCCGAGGATGGAGGCAACTAGCAGGGGGTGCTTGTTGGCCGAGGACGCAGCGAGCCGGCGGGCGATGCGGGACGGGACCACGCCGGTGCCATCGAGGAGAAGGATGGGTGTTTTCCTGGAGCGCGTCATGGTCGGAAATTGTGATTTTGATGATGTGAAAATGCGGTTGTTGTATTCGAGGTACTGCGTGTACTGTCAAACAAGGTCAGGAGGAGTCAAGTGGGCGAAGGTTGTTGAAAGCCGTACTTATGTCTTGGCGGGCAATTTGCGTCACGGTGGGAGTGAAGGGCATTTGGAGAGACGCCATGATGAGATAATCATGAGGGCAAGAGTGAGCTCGAGTAGTGCCCGTGCTTGCCCAACTATACTACTACTACCTACACAGTCGGTGTTGGTTCGTTCTTGGAGCTGGCCAATCAAATGTCGAGAAGCTGTCCAAGACTTTCCCAATTTGGACAATTCCAGGGAAGGAGCAGATTGTCTGTCTGTGGCTGGTCCTCCGTCCACTACGTACCTACGTTTGATGGCTTCCCTCCAAATATCGCCAAGATCGCTCCTTCATAGGTAGTTGATGGCTTCCTACCCAAAAAGATATCGATTGGCTTTTTCCTGCAAGTGCGTTCGATGTACTGTATAGGTACACTAGGTACTTGCTGCCTCGCTCTGTCTGGCATTGCGGGGCCTGCATGAAGTGGAGGTGGCCGTGCACCCCCACACATCATGATCTCTTCTCGACCACTCAGTTCACGTTGCACGAAATGTACCTTTTTCAATAATAAATGGATGCAAATATCTAACATCATGTTGGTGAGTAAAGGCCATCTATCCATCATCCCTTATTGCCCCCTACCTACTATCTCCCTGGCCACTGATCCTCATACTTTCCTCAAGCGCCCTTCTAAACTCTTCCTCCTCATCGTAATCCCTATCTTCCATTTGGATGGGTCCATGGTGCTCATCAGCTTCAGGATCACCTTCCAGCTCTTGTCCCCGACTTTCGCTTTGAACCTGCGCTGCTTGATATTGCCGCGGTACGTGACCTTGTTCCTGCGTCTGCGCTTGGGTCTGTCTCTGAACCTGCCCCTGGCCACCCCCACTTCCACCTCCACCTCCACCTCCACCTCCACTCCCCTCACCTCCTCCAAGGCCCCTTTGACTTCCCCCGCCTCTGAAGCGCTCCTCGGCCAAACTCTGCCTCTTCACCCACTCCAACACAATCGCCTCTTCCTGCTTCTCCCTCTCTTCCTGCTCCCTCCGCTCTCTATCCATGCGCTCACTCTCCTCGAGCGCTTTCCTCATCTCTGCCTCCTCCTCCTCGGGACCCCCACCTGCCTCTCCGTTGTTGGGAATGCTCGGCGTGGCGATTGAAGTGAACCCACTTGACTGATAGGCCGGCGGTGGAGGCGGTACATCCCCAAATGTGTAGGTAGATTTGGATGCCTCGATCGCCTTCAGCAGCTCCTTCTCCTCCTCGGCGCTCATTGTCGATTGCTGATTCATCTGGGCGCGAATGCTTTGCTGAACAGCCTCTTCGATGAGGGCTTGGTACTCCTCGTCTGAAATGCCGGTAAAGTACTCATCGATCATGGCTTGCGCAAGCGACGATTTCTCAGGTGGGGGTTGATGGTGTTGGTACTCGGCCGAATATGCAGGGGGTTGTGCCGCTGGTGATGCCACATCTGCCGAAGAGGGAGGAGGAGGACCAGTTGCTGATTGTGGCCAGCCGCCAGGAGGCGATTTGAGGTCTGAATACCTAGCTGGTACGGTTCCATTATGCTGAGGCGGCTGCTGAGCTTGCGAAGCCATTTGGTGTTGCATCTGAGCAAGACTGAGTCTGATGGCAGCCTCAACCCGAGCGTCTTCCTGGGGATCACCATTGGAAGTCTGCTGGATCGAAGCTTGAATGGCCCTTTCCAGCTCGGCATCATTGCTCGCCCCGACAACAGCAGCCACTCCGCTTCGAGCCTGTCCCTGACCCGAGCTGCCACCCGCTCCTCCGGCTGGCGTGCCCGGTGAGACGACTCCTTTTCCTTTCCCTTGAACACCTCCTTTAGCCACATCTTCCCACCTCTTCTCCTGCCACCTTGCCACTACATCTTTCACCTCCTCTCTCGTCGCATGCTCCATCTCTTCTCTGCCCTGCTGCGCCCTGGCTGCCATAATATGGTTCATCCAACCGCCGCCGCTAAACAGTTTTCTGACTTCGGCATTGAGTCCTTGCATGGTATAGGCAGGAATCGACCATATGGCAGCACCAGGCTTCAGAAAAACCCCACCAATCCCCTTGGCAAATCCCTTCAACAATCCCTTGGCACCTTCCTTCTCTGCACCCCTCATGGGTTGAGTCACTAGGCCAGAGAGTCCATCGTACATGCCAAAGCCAAACTCCCTCGTTGCAACTCTCACCCCCGAAGCAAAGTCGGTTACCTTTTCGTGAGGCCTGACAGTATCATCGTTGTACAAACGAGGAGCGTTCCGGAAGCCGCGCGCGAGTCCGAGGCACACGTTCATGGGCATCTTCATACCCGTGTCGACCAAGCGGCCAACGCTACTGGTAGCGTCACGAGCCGACTTATAACTAAACGCCTCTGGGTTCAGCTGAGGACTCGCGGCCCCAGACAGGTTTGCGGTACCACCGGGCGTTGATGGACCCCCACCTCCACTTGTGGAACGCTGGTTGAATGAGCCCTTGAAAGAGTCATTTCTGCTATGCGTACCTGGAGGTACGGACTTTCCCTTGCCCTTGACATCAGATGACGACCGGGATGCTCCTTCTGCGGTATCTCCCGCTGTGGGAGGAAAGTAAGAGGACCCTGGTTGGCTTTCGGGGCTGAGGGCGCCGTGCGCCTGGGGAGATGAAGCCCCATGAGCTCCGTCTGCTGGTGTTTCGGATCCTAGAGCCTGACCATTACCACCCGAAAGGTTTCTCGCCCTTTTCATCTCCTTGGCCTTGAAGATCCCCCTGGGGAAGTCGGCAACCGACATGGCCATTGTCCCAAGGTCCTCCACCAGAGCCGCTGTAACAGCTGTAATAGGATCCCATGGCTGACCATCGGTGATGTGCTCCTTTGCTCGGAACCTGATTTTGTTAGTAATCATGCCAAGTCAATCTTCAGTATCGGTCGATATGCACTCACAGCTTCAGATCCGAGTACTGCAACAACCCTTCCCTGACCAACACCTCGGCAGCAAATGCACTCAACCTGACCTTTGTCCTCCTAACTCTCCACGTGGCAACTCTGCTGGGCGATAAGCTGCACCGCAGAGCATCGACGTCCAAGAACTGATGAAAGGTCTTGCCACCTTCATCAGCTCCCTTCTCCTCTTTGATCTTGTTTCCGAGCTCTTTCGCCCTTGCCAGTGTCTCTGGCTTGAGCGCCTCTTGGATCGCTGCTGCCAGGTTCTCCGCTGTCAGTTCCTTGTTCGGAATTGGCTTGGGGCCAGCACCAGCCTTGGCAATCATGGCTCCCCAGAAGGGTTGGTCGCCAAAGAAGGGAACTACGACGGTAGGCTTTCCGGCCTTGATGCCTGCCGCGCTGGTGCCTGCTCCTCCATGATGAACCACGGCCGAGACGCGGTTGAATAGCCAATCATGTGGACAGTTGCCGAGCATGAAGTACTGATCCGGACGAGGGGCCCAGTCCGCCTGCGTGATGTCTTCGGTGAGGCCGATGCCACCCCATCCCTTTGAAATGAGAGCTCGAACACCCGACTTGGCTACGGCACGGAGGATGAGACGGGTTAAGGCGTCGGGGTCATCAACGACGATGGAACCAAAGCCGATGTATACCGGTGGCGGACCAGCGGCAAGGAAAGCGGCAAGATCGGGCTCGGGGGTGTAATTAGTCGCCAGATCGAGAAAGTAGAAACCTGCTACGCTGATCTCCTGAGCCCAGTCGTTGGGCTTTGGGATCAGAGCAGGAGACCAACAGTAGGTTGTCGGTATGCGTAGACGGGTGAGCAGTCCTGGCGCCCATAGTAGGGAAAGAGGTTCGAGGTCGAGCACCTTCTCTCTGAAGCGGTTGATGACGTCTCCTAAACCCTGCCAGGTCATCATCTCTACCAGGGCATAAGAGATGTAGTTGGTGATGTTGACATCAGCGTTGGAGGCCTCGATGTTGGCTAGCGGATGGGCGAAGGCCCTTGTTGGTGACCATGGCATCCTGTCATCTTGTTAGCCATGCGTTCATAGAATCACAACCAAAAGATGTATGTTAAAAAAAAACCCACGTAAACATCATGTGCAACGGAATCCCCAACTTCTCCGCGCAGTGAATATGCGCAAAACTCGGCGGATTCGCAATAATCGCATCCGCCACAAACGGCTTCCCCCCCGTTCCCGATGATGATGATGATGATGATACCGTCCATCCATCCTGCCCCACCGGTACCCCCTCTGCATTTTTGTCTCCCTTCTTCCACTCCCTCGGCGGCGGGCCCGTCCCATCGCCCGCTTCAAAACAACTCCTCCAACACCCCATCAACACCTCCATAACTCCCTTTCTCCGCTTCGTCACCTCTCCCGTCTTGATGGCGTCAAACCCCGGCATCAACCCAGGGTGTTTGACCATAAACGCCATCAACTCCGCCGGATCCCCACCGATACTAAAAAACTCGAGGCCGCTTTCCTCCACGAATTTCTGAAAGACAGGGTGCGTAGCCACTCGCACCCGATGTCCATATGTCTGCTTCAAAGTTTGGCCCAAAGCCACGAAGGGTTGGACGTCCCCTCGGGATCCGACAATTTGGATGACTACATTCAATTTAGGCGGGGGTGTCTGGCCCGGATGGCCGCCTAGGCTGGTGGGGATGTAGGGAGGAGGAAGTGGACCGCCGGTGGTGGTACTGGTGATGGGTGAAGGGGGATGGCCGGAGAGTTGGTTGCGCAGGGCGGGAGCGAGCAGTTGAGAGAGGCGGTGGTTCTTTTCGGAGATGGAGATGTTGATGCGGCCGTCGGAGGTGAGGGCTGCACCGGCTTGGAAACCGGCGCGCGAGAGGGAGATGTGGTCCAAATCTAGGGAGTCGCCGTAGGCGGGAGGAGGGGGGTAGTCGGAGGGGGAGAGGGGGGAGAGCGGGGAGGAGGGTTGTGGGCGGCTTGGTGGTTGGGTCATGATGGTGATGAGGAGAACGATTGTTGGATTATCACGGGCGGCGTTTTGTGGTGTGGGTTGGTGAGTTGATGTTGAGGTATAGAGGTCGTAAAGTTTGATGAGAAAGAGGGGAAGGGTCCAGA